ATTTAAAGTTTGTTGCCTTTGGTTAAATAAGCTTTTGGATTTAAAGTTTGCTGCCTCTGGTGAAAAGAGCCTTTTGAATTTGAAGTTTGTTACCTCTGATGAGAGGAGCCTTTTGAATTTAAAGTTCGTTGCCTTTGGTTAAAAGAGCTTTTGAATTTAAAGTTCATTGTCTATAGTGAAAGGAGCTTTTTGAATTTAAAGTTTTATAGCCTTTGTTTAGAGGAGCCTTTCAAATTTTCTTTCAAAAAAAAAAAAATTTATGTTCAATGTTTCATTTTTTGTTTGTGTTTATCTGAACAAAATTGGTGTCTTTTTGTCTTTGCTTTATTCCTGATTCTCAGAAATAACCAAAGAGGGGCAGCGGTAGGCACTAATTTTGTTGTTCTTTTTTTATTATTATTATATAATTTTGTTCTTTATTATTATTATTATTGTTATTATTAATCTTTAAAACAAAAGGAAAAAAAAGTCAAAAAAGTGTAAAAAAAAGGTCTTTGATTTCAACTTCGGCAGCCGAAATCAAGTTGTCAGAGTGGTCCAAATTTCTTCTTGACACTGCCTAACATGGCAGCATGAAATCCAGTAGCCATAAGTCACCGGATAGACACCCAAAATTTCCACAAAATGATCTAAGAAGATCTAAGATCTCGAATCTCAAAAGCTCTATAAATAGAGCTAATCTATGCAAGGAACATGCAAAAAAGAAGGAAGAACAATAAGAGGGAACACATACAATAGAAAAAAATAGCAAACAGAGAAAAAAAATTCTCAAGAATGAAATTCTCGATCCAAGAAGTTGTAGATTTCTTTTTTTGAAAAATCAGGGCTTGGAAAGGTGTTTATAAGGCAAAAAGGATCATTTGGGGAATTTTTGAAAAATTTTTTGGGTCGCTGAAAATTGAAAAAATTTGAATTTTTCAGCATCGGAATCTAGAAAAGTTTAAATTTTTTTATGACCGTTGAATTTTTCAGTCACCAGAATCTGGGGATCTTTGAATTTTCCAACGTCGTTGAATTTTTCGGCCATCAGTGCACGGTGGCAACTGATAGGAAACTGGGCTCCACGGCAACCAGCATAAGGGTTGGGTTTTTTAGAGAGAAAAGCTATGGTAGAGAGAGAAAGGGGAAAGGAGAAAATAAAAAAAAAAACCAGAAACATGCCTTTTATAGACCCTTCAAAATGACGTTGTTTTGGACATTTAGACTGAACCTGACCTGCGCAAGGTCCGCACGCCAACCTGACCCATTTCGTAGGTTTTTCCTTTTCATTTTCTTTTTATTTTTCATTTTGATTTTGATTTTGATTTTTGATTTTTTTTTATTATTATTGTTATTTTATAGTGGTAATAATTTTTTAAAAAACAAATAAATAAATAAAATACAAAATGAAACTGAAATAAAATAAAGACCTAAAAAAATATAAATAAAAAATTTAATAATAATAACTACTTTAAGGAAATAAATTTTATTACAAGCAAAAATATTATTTAAATTTCATCAAAGTGTTGGGATAATTTTAAAAAATAATTTTTGCTAAAAAATAAATAAAAATTGATAAATAAAAAAATAAATTTTTTAAATGAATCTTTTAAATATAATTTTTAGAGAAAGCTAAAAGAGTTTAGTTTTCTTTAATTATTGCAAGTAAAAAGAATTTTTCAAATTTCACTATAGAGTTCGGATAATCCAAAATTAATTTTACTAAAATAAAGATTGATTTAAACAATGTAAAATAGTAATAAAAAATAAAATTAATAATAATTGATATTTTGAATATTTAAAAATATAAAAAATTGAAAAGAGTTCGATTTTTTTCAATACAAATAAGAGATTAATATTTAGATTTCACCGGTGAGTCAGGATAATTTAAATTTTTTCTTATAAAAATAATTAGAGAATAAATAATACAAAATTTTAAAATAACCATAATATTTAGATTTCACCGAATAGTTGGAATAATCTTAAAATTTGTTCAAAATTTTGGGAACTCACCAAAGAGTCGAGATGTTCTTAAAATCCTTTTTAAATAAATAATTAAAATATCTTGTGATGAAGTTTCAAGAATTTTGTGAATGGTCAATTTTCTCAAAATATTTTATAAATAGTGATTTTCTATAAATTCCACCAAAGCGTTGGAGAATTTATAGAATACGAAATAATAATAACAATGTTAATTTTGAAACAGAGAAAAATGTTTTAAAATAAATTTTAGGAAATTAAACTTAAATAAAAAAGATCCCGTTAACAAAATTATAGGATTATGCATGTTTAAATGATACTGTTCTTCGAACGGGCGACGTGAGGTTGCTAATACTTTCCTCACTCGTAACCGTACTCTTGGACATAGTCTTGATTTTGCAAACCTAAATTTCTTTTAGTAAGTTTCAATTAATTTTAAAATTTTTTTACTAAAAGATGATATTTTGGGTGGCCAATCACACCCTATAAAAAGATTGGTGATGGATCCGAAAATTTTCACTAAGTCTAGCGATTGAGTCCCCCTGGGCAAAAAATCGTTATGACAGTCTTTATTAATCATTACTTCAATCCCAAAGGCCAACAAAATAGGATTGAAATCCTATGATGTTATCCCATGCTAATTTATACAAGCGTAGGCCTACTTCGAGCACTCTAATTTTTTCAAAGTAATATTGTTAGAGGAATGACCCCCTACTTAAAGCTAAGAGTGCATTGCTGGTAGTAGGAACTAGTAGATCGATGCTCAACATGAGTAGATTGGACAACCCAAACCTAGTTCCAACTATGAACTTTTGAACTACAACAACTTAAATAAATGCTATTGGAGCTAGAATTACCGCAACTACTAGCACCAAACTTACCTTCCAATGGATTCTTGTTAAGGGATTTAGATTGTACTCATTCCAATTGCCAAACTTATAGAGCTTGATATTGTTATTTATTGTCACTACCTCCTTGTGTCTAGATTACGTAATTTGTATGCCTACTGCCTTTCTTGGATATGGTAACTATTTCTCTAACTTCTTCTTTGAAATTGAACCTTAATTCTTTGTCACCTGCCACCACCATAGTAGGCCACTATCCTACCATCGAAAGTTGATAGGGCAAAAATTTGAATGATGCATCATAAGTACAAAGGTTATACAATCCGTCAAGTTTTCATGAATCATCAAAGTAATAGGCAAAGCCCACATCAACCTTTTATCTAACAAAAGCATCCCTTCCAGAAATCAAGTTTTGTTGCATGTATTAGCTTTAGAATTACTATGATTATTCAAGTAGTAGATACCATCAAACAAACAATAGCTGATTTAATGAGCCATTGGCAATTTCATAGTCTGAATTAGTTCATACTTACACATGAATGGCATAATCTTTGAAACAAGCATATAACTATTGGCAAGACAAACCAAGTAGCATTCCTTTAAGACCTTGGCATTGCATGTGTCTCAATGCACTAATTAAGTAATAGAGAGAGCCAACATAAAGCACAAGCATCATGCATATCAAGCACATAAAATGCATAGCATCGGATGAACAAGGGCCAAGAGCTTATGCCCACAAAACATTTTGCATCCAAGAGCATGATCGAACACTAGTGCACTAATGTGGCCATAAAAGGTTTGGGTGGCACACTTGGGACACAGGGCATGATTGAGGTTCAACCCATAGCCCCTAAGGGCATAAGATAGATGAGGGAAGGCAAGACATCCAATTTTCATCAATTTAGGTATGCAGTATAAGATCTCAATTGTGCCCTCAAGGTACCATGACTACATGAGGGTGATTGAAGAGGATGATAGGATAATAGTGGGACATCGATCCAACATGCATGTGCGAGCATTGCTAGAACGAGTGGGGAAAATGTCATGGACTACACATGAGTCCTAGACCAAAAGGGTCACATGACAAGACTTGCTTAAGATAATGTAGGTGAAGCATTAGGAAAGATTAAAACCAAGGTCTTAAAGGCACATACTTTACCAAAGTATGGGGGTAAAGGCCAATGCCAAAGTGTAGGAGTACACTTAAAGTGAGCTACATAGTGCCAGGGATAAGGACTGCTCATTGGAAGGCTCCAGAAAGCCCTAGGATGTGGCATGGGTAGTCAAGCATAAAAAGGCCTAGAACTACCTAGACACAAGCTAGGCACATTGGCATGGAAGCTTCTAGATCAGCCTAGAGATAGGTTAGATGGGCAGGCATAAAAGGGTGTAGAGGTGCTTAGAGGCAAGCCAGGTGTGTAAGCACTAAAGGTTCTAGAAGGGTCAAGTGCAGATGTCACACCCTGGGTGGGTGTGCCAAGTGCACAAGCCCAAGTACTAAGGACCAAGACTCGAGCACCAGGGATAGTTGTAGGGGTTGGTGCAATAAGCATGAAAAAATGTCTAGACCATTTGCACAGTATACAGGCCTACCCGTATAGCCAAGACTAAGCCCACAACATGCTCATACTGCACCTAGGTGGACTTAGAGGAGCTAGGCCAATCTAGAATCTTCTAGAGGCATCCAAGATCGGCAACATTCAGTAAGAAGATCTAATTGACCTTAAAAATTAAGAGGAGCCTCATGTAATCTGTGTAATCTATGTAATCTCTTATTTTTACTTATAAATCCCATTATTTTAGGAGATAGCCAAAAGTAGAGCTGGGGGCCTCAACTATAAATAAAAGGTCACCCTATTTTTAGTTGTACACACATCTTCACATTTTATTTCAGTAATACATAGAGCATATTCTAGCATTTTATTATGTTCACTAACTTACGTATTCCACCCTTTCTTATTCTTGTTTACCCGCATGCTAGTTGGAGAGGATAAACTTAGGCATACAAAGTTAATTCCAAGCCATAAAATCGCATAAATTTAGGCTTAAATCTAGAGCCTGTGACAGTTGGTATCAAGCAGGTTTTGATTGCGTGTTTTATGTGTCGATTGCTAGATCATAGTTGATGAGATGGCATCCCAAAGTAATGTTGCTATCCAACAACCAGAGGCTAGTTTGAAAGACACTTAGTCTACCATGGATGAGAGGCTAGCCAAGGTAGAGGTGACAGTAGTTGATGTGAGGGATAAGCTTAAAAGGATAGAGGCTCGCTTTGAGGATATGGACTCCAAGGAGGAAGAGCTCAAAAGTGAGATATAGGCTACCCTAAATGAGATAACTGACATGCTCACCTAAAGGAATGAAGCTTTGGAAGCCATGATGGAGATCATACGTAAGGAGGTTGAAGAGTAGCTCACTACTTATAAGACTGCCATTAGGAATGGCATGTTCACTGAAATGTCTAAATCTTATATGGAGATCCCCAAGCCCAAAGAGTTTTAGGGGACTAGAGCTATAAAAGAAGTGGATAACTTTTTATGGGGATGAAGTAGTACTTTTGAGCCACAGGCATGCAGAATGATGCTTGTAAGGTAAGCACTACTTCTATGTATCTTACTAATATCACCTTATTGTGGTAGAGGCACATGTGTGATGATGTGAGGCATCGAGGTACCATGATTGGAACCTAGGATGCATTTCAAAAAGAGTTCAAAAAGTAGTTATACTTGAAGTACCCTAATGATGAGACGTGAGCAAAGTTAAGCTGACTTACTCAACAAGGGGACATAAAGGAGTATGTCTAGAAGTTCTCTAAATTAATGCTTTAGATTTCAAATCTTACCTTCACTGATAGGCTCAAGCCATGGGTGAAGCACGAGTTATAAAGGAAAGGAGTTCGTGAGCTGGCCAAGGCCATGACCATCATTGAGTCCTTAGTGGATTTCAAGCTATAGAGCAAGTCAAAGTCTACCAAGACCAATGGAAAAGGTAGGGACAAGAAGGACTAGGAGAAATAGTCTAAGGGAAAAGACCGTGATCAGTAGTCCATGGATGGAGATCGAAAACATTCAGACAAGGGTATCTAAGGCAAACCACTAACAAAGAAATGAAAGGCTAAAGGTGATCGAGAGCTGATCTCATGCTACCTATATGAAGAAAGCCATATAGTGTGAAACTGCCCCTAGAAGGGCAAGTTGGCTACCATAGACAAAGAGTCAGATGAGGAGCTAAAGGTTGGGATAGCATAGCTTGGGTCACTATTACTTAATATTATCCATATTAAGGGGAACTGCAAGCCAAAGTGCTTGATGTTTATGGATCTGATGGTTGTGGGCAAGAAAGTGAGCTCACTAGTGGACACAAGTGCCTTACATTTGTTTATTTCAGGTGATAGAGCCAAGAAACTCAACCTGAAGTTGTAAAAGAGGATTGGTACAATCAAGATAGTGAACTTCAAAGAGGTTCCAGCCTTTGAAGTAGCCCAGGGAGTGGAGATACAACTTGGAGCTTGAAAGGGTAAGGAAACCATTGAGGTAATACCCTTGGATGATTATGAGTTTATGATTGGGTTAGTTTTTCCTGTTCAAATTAATGCCCTCATTGTGCCATTTGCCAATTGTATTTTAGATGCGTGGTGCAAATGCTTTGTACCATTGAGGCAAAAGTCCAGGTTAGGTCCAAGGTGCTATCAGCCATTTAATTTGCCAAGGCAATGACCAAGAATGAAGACACCTTCTTGGCTACTCTAAAGTATAAGCAATTAAGGGGGAAAGAGACCAACACCCCCTTAGAAGTGCTAGAACTACTGGAGACCTTTAGCAATGTGATGCCTACATAGCTACCAAATAGGCTACCACTAAAAAAAGAGGTGGACCATAAGATCAAGCTAGTGCACAATGCCAAGCTACCAGCCAAGGCCCTTTATAGGATGTCATCCATAAAGTTAGAGGAACTAAAGAAGCAACTCAAAAAGTTGATTGATGCAAGCTATATCAGGCCTTCGAAAAGCCCATATGGTGTCCCATTGTTGTTTTAACACATGCATTATGGGTCCTTGTAGTTGTGTAAGGATTATAGGGCATTAAATAAGCTGACTATCAAGAATAAGTATCCTATCGCACTCATTGCAGACTTGTTCAACCAACTTGGAAGCACAAGGTGGTTCACCAAATTGGATTTGAGGTTAGGTTACTACTAGGTCAAGATCACAGAGGTAGAAGAGCCTAAGATAGTGTGTGTCACTGGGTATAGTTCATATAAATTCTTGGTTAGACTCACCAATGCCCCAACAACATTTTATACACTTATGAACAAGGTACTTCAATTGTTCTTTAATCATTTTGTTGTGGTTTATCTTAATGATATTGTGATCTATTGCCAGACATTGGGAGAGCATGTAGACCACTTAAGATAGGTGTTCGAGGTGTTACGAGTGCATCAACTTATGTCAAGAAAAAAAAGTGCTCATTTGCCTAGTGAGAGCTACTATTTCTATGGCACGTAGTGGGAGGTGGCAAGATACACATGGATACAGGCAAGCTCTATGCCATTTTAAGGTGGGAGCCTCCAGCTAAGGTTACTAAGTTAAGGTCATTCCTTGGGTTGGTTAACTACTATTGATGCTTCATTAAGGGCCAATCAACCATAGCCACATCATTAACAGATTTATTTAAGAAAGAAAGAACGTAAGAGTAGAGCACTGAGTGCCAGGATGCCTTTGATAGGTTGAAATAGGTACTGACCAAGAAGCTAGTGTTGGCTTTGCTAGAACATGCCAAGCCATATGAGGTGCATACGAACACATCAAACTTTACGATAGGGGGAGTGCTGATGTAGGATAACCATCCAGTTATGTTTGAAAGCCGAAAGCTCAATGAAACTGAGCATAAGTACATGGTCCAGGAGAAAGAGATGACAATAACGGTGCACTGCTTGCACACTTGGTGGCATTACCTATTAAGGTCAAGGTTTATGGTCAGAATAGACAATGTGGCCACCAGCTACTTCTAGATGTAAAAGAAGCTATCCCCTAAGTAAGCTTATTGGTAGGATTTTCTTATAAAATTTGACTTCAAGTTAAAGTACAAGCCAGGGTAGGCGAATACAATGGCTGATGCCCTAAGCAAGAAAGTGAACCTTGTTACCTTTCACCAACTAGATGGGGCTTTGGTGTTGCACATTAAAGAGGGGCTTGTGCATGATCCTATGGCCAAGGCTTTCATTAATTACACCTAGCAAGGTAAGACTAGGTAGTTTTGGTTGCCAGATGATTTGTTGTACACCAAGGGTAGTAGGTTGTTTATGTCACAACATGGGAAGCTTTGCAGGGAAGTTTTACAAGAGTGTCATGATTCAAGGTAGGCTGGTCACCTAGGAATGAGTCACATCTTAGCCTTGCTAAAGTGCTGATACAACTGGCCACACATAAAGGATGATGTGGAGGCCTATATGAAGACTTGTCTTGTGTGCCAATAGGACAAAGTGGAGCTCAAAAAATTAGGTGATCTCTTAGAGCCATTGTCGATACCAAAGTGACCATAAGAGAGCATCACTATAGACTTCATAGTTAGTCTACCAAAAGCAGAGGGGTTTCGAAGCATCATGGCAGTGGTGGATAGGTTTTTCAAGTATGGGACTTCCATTCTAGCAACTGAAGAGTGGACAACTGAAGAGGCAGCCCGTTTGTTCTTGAAAAATATGATGAAGTATTGAGAGTATCGAGGACCATTGTTAGTGATCGAGACTGGCATTTTACAAGGTAGTTCTAGACTAAGTTGTTTAAGCTCTTAGGGTAAGACTTGAACTTTTCCACTAACATGCATCTGTAAACCGATAAGCAAATTAAGCAAACGAATGGACTGCTGAAGGTCTACCTCATGCACTATGTGAATGCCATGTAAAAGGATTGGCCAAAGCTGTTAGATGTCACCCACTTTTTTTACAACTTGTAGAAGAGTGAAGCAATGAACCAGAGTCCATTTGAAATTATGACAAGTCAGCAATTGCTAACACCTGGTTCAATTGCTGCAGGTTATACAAGGCTAATCTAGCAACATACAAGTTTGCCAAGGCTTGGTAGGAACAAGCCAACTTGGCCAGAGTTTGTCTACACGAAGCCACAAAGAGGTTAATGTTTTGGTGCAGCTGCACCCTATTATGCACCATAAAAGGTTGCACAAAGGCTTAGTCTAATGGTATGAGAGACCTTTCAGAGTTCTTAAGAGAGTAGGCAAGGTTGTTTATAAATTGGATATGCCACCCAAGCTGAGGGTACATCTGGTGTTCCATGTTATCATGCTAAGCCATTCCATGAAGAAGAGGGAGATCCAAGATGAGCAAAGTTGAAGCATGCACCATTAAGAGCCAAGGCCTCATATGAGATAGAGGTCTATAGCATTATTACTGATCGAGAGTTGAGATAGAAAAACTACTAGCCAAGATAGGAGTGCTTGGTGTGTTAGAATGGGCTTTCAGATAGTAAGGTGACTTGGGAGCCAATAAAGGACTTATGGCAGTTCTAAGACCAGATCAGGTAGTTCCACAAAGAGAATGCAACGATGGCATTATGCAATCAAGTGGGAAAGAATGTTACGCCTTGAGCAGGTACACCAAGCACATAGGCTCGAGCACTAGGGACCAAGGGTCGAGCACCAAGGATAGTTATGAAGGTTGGCACAATAAGCATGGGAGAAGTGTCTAGACTGCCCGCACAGCATGCATGCCTACCTGCACAGCTAAGACCAGGCTCACAACATCCCCACACCTTACCTAGGTGGACCTAGCAGAACTATGCTAATCTAAAATCTTTCAAAGGCATCCAAGATCAGTAGTATTCAGTATGAGGATCTAGTTGACTCTAAAAATCAGGATGAGCCTTATATAATCTATGTAATCTATGTAATACCTAATTTTTAGGAATCTTGTAAATCCTTTATTTTAAAAGATAGTTGTAAGTAGAGTTGAGGGCCTTAATTATAAATAGAAGGTTGCCCTACCCTCAATTGTACACACATCTTCACATTCTATTTCAGTAATACACAGAGCATATTCTAGCATTTTGTTATGTTCTCTAACTTGTATATTCCACCCTTTCTTGTTCTTGTTTATCCACACACTAGTTGCTAAGGCTAAACTTAGGTATACAAAGTTAATTCCAAGCCCTAAGGCCACATGGATTCAGGCTTAAGTTTGGAGCTTGTGACATTGGCATAGTGATGGGCACAGTAGAGCCTAGATGAAAAAGCTTCTAAAAGACCCTAGCTATGGGCACCTAGATGGAGAAGGCTCTGGAACATGCTAGACATGGGCACTTAGTAGGAGTGCCCAGACTTTTTCAAACCTAGGGGCTTGATAGGAAGCTTGAAACTAGCATATCTCTAGAAAGGCCTTAGCCAACCTTGTTAGAGCCTAGGCACCCTAGAATTGTCTAGAAGGCCTTTAATGGCAACACACTTACATTCATTGTAACCATAAGTACGAAGAACCAAGTCATAAACTTGGGCAGTAAGCAATTGTATATAGCATCAAGTAAATAAAAGTTACAATTACTTTAACTCTCTTTCCTAGCTTTCTCCTAAGCTTTTAGGAAGCCAATGGAGTGCACAGCGTAAGTGTTTAGCATAGAGTGAGAAAAAATGATGACTTAGGCACATGGATAGTTTTTTCTAGCCTAAGGCAACATAGGTGCTAGGCTTAAGCAATCGGCCCATGACACATGAACGGGCTTGGCCAAGCATGTGAATAGGCTTGGCCAGGCTAAGGCATTTTTTGTGGTCAATGAAAAAGGACCATGAGATTGCCAAATAATTAAGAGACTTGGCCATACCTAGCCCACAACTGCAGCTTTTACTTGCACCATACCGAAAAGCCATTGCCTAATTTATGTATCGCGATCTGCAAGTTCATATAAACTTATTTTAAATAAAATAATATCAATTTATTAATATTCCAAAAATTAAAAAGTAAGAGAATTAAAAAAAAATTTGTTTACCGAACAAGTTTAAATAGTTATGACTATCTGAACAATTATTTATTTCAAAACATTATAACATTTTGTTTTGTCATAAAACAATTCATTTTGTTCATGCAACCTTATTTCAAATAAAATAAAATAAATTTATTGATATTCCAAAAATTAATAAGTAAAAATTAAAAAAATAAATCTATTTTCTGAATGCATTCAAATAGTTATGACTATTTAAGAAATTATCTACTTCAAATCATTATGACCATTTGTTTTGTCATAAACCAATAGTTTCTTTTCAAACAAGCTTATTTGGAACAAAATAATACTAATTTATTAATATTCAAAAATTAATAAGTAAAAATTTAAAAATAAATCTATTTACCAAGTGAGTTTAAATTGTGATGACTATTTGAACAATTATTTATTTCAAATAATTATGATCTTTTTGTTTTGTCATAAAACAATCAATTCTATTCATACAAGTTTACTCAAAATATAATAATACTAATTTATTAATGTTCTAAAAATTAATAAGTTGAAGATTTAAAAAATTAATCTATTTACTGAATAAGTTTAAATAGTCATGTCCATTTGAACTATTATCTATTTCAAATTATTATGATAGTTTGTTTTGTCATAAGACAATTATGTCTATTCATACTAAATTATTCATAAAAAATTAATACTAATTTATTACTATTTTAAAAATTAATAAGAGAATTAAAAACTAAATCTCTTTACCGAATCAGTTTAAATAGTTATGACTATTTAAACAATTATCTATCTGAAATTGGTATGATTTTTGTTTTATCCTATAACATTTATTTCTATTCATAGAAGCTTATTTAGAGTAAAATACTGCTAAATTAATAATATTTTAAAAATTAATAAGTATTTAAAAAATAAATGTGTTTGTCGAACATTTCAAATAGTTAAGACTATTAGAACAATTATCTATTTCAAATTGTTCTAACCTTTTGTTTAGTCATAAAATAATTGTTTCAATTCATACATACTTATTCAAAATAAAATAATACTATGTTATTAACATTCAAAAAAAAAATTAATAAGAAAGAAATTAAAAAAATAAATCCGTTTACCAAATAAGTTCAAATAGTTATGACTATTTGAACAATTATTTATTTAAAATAGTTATGATCTTTTATTTTATCATAAAACAATTGTTTTAGTTCATAAAAGCTTTTTTGAAATAAAATAATATTACTTTATTA